TTTCAATGTTTGCTGTTATTCTCTGGTTGTGGCAACAGAGAAAGATATTCGTAATTATACCCCAAAATTGACTGAGAATTTTGACAAATTCTCTAATGAAAACATCTTTAGGGAAATTGAACGTCTTCGGAGGCATTTGGAAGCTGCCAAGATCAGTGTTGAAGAAGCAAAGAAATGGACGGCATTGCAGTTCCTGGAGTTCATTGTTATGGGATTATTGTGAATCTCTGCCAAATTTGTCACTGTGTATAAGATTCTTTTTGACTCTGTGTGTGTCTATTGCTTTATGTGAAAGAAGTTTTTCCAAATTAAAATTGATAAAAAATGTATTTCGCTCAACCATGAGTGAGACAAGGTTGACAAATCTGGCTATACTTTCAATTGAGCATGAATATGCAAGGAAGAATGGCTTTGATGAAGTAATCGATAAATTTGCAGAAACGAAGGCTCGAAGGCAGCGGATGTGAATCATTGCAAATTACCTCTGCCGAATAGACTGAGTGGTCACTTTGGATCTGTGTGTTTTTTTTGTTTATAGAAAGCTTATTATCTGTTACGTAAATGTTAATTATTTAAATTTAATTTATTTCTAAGTTAATTTATTTTTCATAGTTTCATTTTTTTCAAGTTGATATACAGTTTACAAATTTGTGCAATAAATATTATTGAAAACATTGAAAAAAATTGTTGGTGTTTTCTTACATTTTTATTATGGTTGCTAGTGCAATGGTTGACACTGATATATTTAAAAAAAAAAATTATAGATAAGGAATATATATATATATATATGTGTATATATATATATATATATATATATAAATATATATATATATATATATATATATATATATATAAATATATATATATAGTATCTGTCAAAAGTGAGTATAGCCCTCCCATTTTTGTAAATATTTTATTATATCTTTTCATGTGACAGCACTGAAGAAATGACACTCTGCTACAATGTAAAGTAGTAAGTGTACAGTCTGTATAGCAGTGTAAATTTTCTGTCCCATCAAAATAACTCATCACATTAATGTCTAAACCATTGGCAACAAAAGTGAATATACCCTTAAGTGGAAATGTCCAAATTGGGCCCAAAGTATCAATATTTTGTGTGGCCACCATTATTTTCCAGCACTGCCTTTTTTTTTTTTTAAATTCTTTATTTTAGAAGTGCAGGTTTATACATCATAGCAGGCAGTGCCACAACAGCAGCTGCGTTGCACAACATTTCGTACAATAACAGTAAAGCGGCATATTGTAGCAGACGTTAGCACACAATTTTTGTTTTATATGATAGCAATGTCAGTAGGTTGCCCCACTGTGTTGTTCAAGGATAAGAGTGCTCCGGTTGGAATGTTCGAAGTGTAACAAAATCCTATATGTGGATGGTTGTGTGCGTTTGTGGATGAGGGTGATATTTGTTGATTTTTATGATATTATGTTTAATTATATTGGATTACAACAAATTGAAGTATGTCTTTTTAAAAAATTATTATAAATTGATGTATGTCCTTTTAAAAAATTACCAGAATACCAACGGGGTGGAATTTGCCTTGATATGTGTATGTTGGTATATGTTGGTAGGTGTATATGATAAACATATATGTGGGTTTCATACACACACTCCTTATGTATGGGTTTCATATACACAATCCTTATGTGCAATACTGTGGATTGTATATTTATTAATAAAGCTCCAAAATGTGACAACATACAAGCACGGTTCATATAGGGGCAGCTTATTAGAAGAAAATAACACGAAGTTGGAACGCACGTTGAGTTCCACCCGATCATAAATAGAACCCGGAAGAGGAAGTGATGTGAGAGAGTTGGAACGCATGTTGCGTTCCAACAACCCGAAAACGGAAGCCGGAAGTGAAAAATTAACAGAGGGGGAACCCGGAATCAGGGCCGGACTGGCCCACCGGGAAATTTCCCAGCGGGCCATCGGCACCTGGGGCCGGGCAGGCAGCTGGCTCCCCTTGCGGCCGCTCTCCCGGCGGCCGCAGAGGGAGCCGGCCGCCCCGCCCCCGCTCCCCCCCCCCAGCGCGCCGCCCAATGAGACCGGGGCCGGAATACGACGGCGCGCCGGGGAAGGGGAGCAGAGACAGAACAGCCAGCTCCCCCCGCGGCCGCCAAAAGATCTCCCTCTGCGGCCGCAAGAAGAGCCAGCTCCCCCATGCGGCCGCCATCAGAGCTACCCATGCCAGCACACAGGTAGCAATTATGTGTGTCAGTGTGAGTGTATGTGTGTCTGTGTCATTTGTGTGTGTGTATGTCATGGTGTGTCTGTCTGTCTGTGTCATGGTGTGTGTGTCTGTCTGTGTCATGGTGTGTGTCTCTGTCTGTCATGGTGTGTGCGTCTGTGTCATGGTGTGTGTGTCTCTGTCTGTGTCATGGTGTGTGTGTCTGTCTGTGTCATGCAATGTGTGTCTGTGTCATTGTGTGTGTTTGTCTGTGTCATGGTGTGTGTGTGTCTGTCTGTGTCATGCAATGTGTGTCTCTGTCATTGTGTGTGTCTGTCTGTGTCATGGTGTGTGTCTCTGTCTGTCATGGTGTGTGCGTCTATCTGTCATTAGTAGACAGAACACGTAGTTTTCAAGTAAAATTACCTTATTATCATGTGCATCCAGATGCTATTTTGTCAATCTTTGTTTTATTGCGGCATATGAAATGGGATACATAAGAAAGAAAAGGGAAGTGTACGGTTTGTTCACAGGGTGGGGTCAATACATCGTTAGCTTTAGGTAGATACATTTCCTTGTTTAGTATTGCCACATTTTTTGTTAAGTCGATTAGCGAGAACATATATAAAGCATTTTGAAGGTAAGCAAACAATGGTTATGTTAAGTTACTAACATAATACTGGAGCCACACTTGGAGCCCTGCAGTAAACATATATACAGTGCAAATACCGTCATGCTATTCACCTAGACATTCGTTAATACATTGCGAAGTAACCTGCTGATACACTATGTAGATAATAAACATGCGATTTCAAGGTAGCCAACAAAATATGCGTAAACGTAGCTGTGCAGAGTAGACCTATCAGCGGCTTATGAGGACTCATTTCGTATCATTTCCAGGGTAACAATGCCTTAGTGTTAAAGTTTAAACTGTAGCATGGAAATTCAGGCTATCGATTATAAGATCCATTATGTAACATGCTAAATTAACAGTGCATGTAGTAATCTTAATATTCCAACAGTATAATACCGAGTAGGTTAAACCATGAGTTAACTGGTGTGCCTTTGCCAATCATTAGGGTAATTTATAACAAGCTATTACGTTATGATTATTTAACTGCTGCATATTGATAAAAATCACATTCACAAGCAAGAGTAGGTTGAGACATTGCACGACAATGAAAGTAACACAGGTGTGTGGTATAGTGTGGAAGCATGCTGCGGCACTATAGTGGTTTGTGAGGATGGAGCTGTACTATCCGAGTCTGCTGTGATGGACCTTCTCGGGGTCAGGCTAGTGTGTCGATATATGTGTGCGGTGGTAAGCTGTTGTGACCGCCATGCAGGTGGCGAGGGTGGTGTTGGTCTTATATGTGGTGCTTGCGTACAGCTATCTGTGTCGGGTGAGTGTACTCCCTTGTTAGGGATGAAGTATGTGTTGTGTATGGCTGGGTCTGATTACCATGGTAGGTGGCATGCTTTAGAGTCTATAGATCAGTTGGTTAATAGTTTAGTCTCTGCGTTGTGGGCTGGGTTGTTGGTTGCGGGCCGCGGCCTGCATGAGTCCGAGTTGCCTCACCCTATACCCGTTCTGGTGACTCTGCTCGTGCGACTGGGTAAGTGTAGACCGCTCAGGCTCCCTCTGGGCGGGGGTTCCGGCAGCGTTTTCAGGTGGGTCAGCGAGGAGTTGAGGTGGTTGCGGCTGGGGGCTTCTCCCTTATTCCCGGCTTCATGTGGGGTTGGCACCATGTGGCCACAGACTCGGTTGCCTCTCGAGGCCGGGTCTTTCCCATGATGGGCGCAGTGGAGGGCCCTGGAGGTTTTCTGGCGCCAGCGGCGGGTGGCTCTCCTGCGGTGTGGTCGGTGGATAGGAGGGAGTCTCCTAATGTTCCCATGCCAGGATGGGAGTTCCGCCTGACGGTGCGCGGCGGCTTTTCCCGGGGTCTGCCCGCTCTGACTTTCAGCCTGAGTCTGCCTCACCTCTTCTTGGTGTTTAAGGGTTTGACGTGCCCTCTGTCTCTCCAGCTTCTCCCAGAACCGGCTGAGCAGAGCATCTAGACGCTCGTGTAGAGGCTGGGTGGAAGCATGCTCTGCAGTGTGGCCCGAGGCCACCATTTTATGAGCGTTCGCTTGACTTTGTGGACCAGGATAACCCCCACTGGTCCTGGGGGGGGGGTAGGAGGGCCCGATGCTTCGGGTGCCGCTTGGTTTGGCGAGTTGGGAGAGCGGCCGTCTCTCCCCACCACCATGTGTTGTAGGCCCCAAGTTCCCGGCCCGGACTCCCAGCGGGTTCGTAGGTCTGTGAGGTGTCCTCCTGTATCCCCGCTTTCACTGTGCCAGTTGCGGTGGGCTGAAGGACCGATTAGGGTGAGTTTTCCTCAGTTTTCCGCCAAAAATCCGGCCCAGGCTCGGGAGCTCACAGAAAGCGTGTCTGCTCAGCTCCCCGGTCAGGCCCCGCCCCCCCTCCAGCACTGCCTTAACCCTAATGGGAATGGAGTTCACCAGAGCTTCACCAGAGCTTCAAATGTTGCCACTGGAGTCTTCTTCCACTCCTCCATGATGACACTCCTCCATGGATATTAGAGACCTTGCGCTCCCCCACCTTCCATTTGAGGATGCCCCACAGATGTTCAGTAGGGTTTAGGTCTGGAGACATGCTTGTCCAGTCCATCACCTTCAGCTTCTTTAGCAAGGCAGGGGTCGTCTTGGAAGTATGTTATCATCAGGGCCAGACTGGCCCACCGGGATACCGGGAAATTTCGGTCCGGTGGCACACTCAGAGGGGGCTGGCCGCGTTCCAGGCTGCACTTCTGTCACTGATGATGCTGAGGGCTGAAGGAGGAGGAGCATGTCTAACATGCTCCCTCACGGTTCGCACAATTCCCAGCACAGGAACCGCAAAGGAGCATAGTAGACATGCTCCTCCTCCTTCAGCCCTCAGCATCATCAGTGACAGAAGTGCCGCCGGACCGGCGAAGCTGCCACCCGGCCCGGCGGCTCCAGCCTGGAACGTGGCCGGACCTCCTGACTTCTCTAGGTAAATGGGGGAGGAAATAAAACAGAGAGGGGAATAGAGAGATGGTGGAGGGAGGAGGGAGAGACACAGGGAAAGGGGGGAGAAAGAGACAGAGGGGAAATGAGATTTGGAGGAGGGAGAGACACATGGAAAGGGGGAAGGAAGTGAGATGTGGAGGAGGGAGAGACACAGGGAAAGGGGGAGGAAGAGAGATGTGGAGGAGGGAGAGACACGGGGAAAAGGGGAGAAAGAGACAGAGGGGAAAATAGATTTGGAGGAGGGAGAGACACAGAGAAAAGAGGGAAGAAGAGAGATTTGGAAGAGGGAGAGACACAGGGAAAGGTGGAGGAAGAGAGATGTGGAGGAGGAAGAGAAACAGGGAAAGGTTGGAGAAAGAGTCAGAGGGGAAAAGAGATTTGGAGGAGGGAGAGACACAGGGAAAGGGGGGAGGAAGAGAGATGTGGAGGAGGGAGAGACACAGGGAAAGGGGGAGAAAGAGACAGAGGGGAAACGAGATTTGGAGGAGGGAGAGACACAGGGAAAGGGGGAAGAAGAGAGATGTGGAGGAGGGAGAGACACAGGGAAAGGGGGGAGAAAGAGACAGAGGTGAAAATAGATTTGGAGGAGGGAGAGACACAGGGAAAGGGTGGAGGAAGAGACAGAGGGGAAAAGAGATTTGGCGGAGGGAAAGACACAGGGAAAGGGGGGAGGAAGAGAGATGTGGAGGAGGGAGAGACATAGGGAAAAGGGGGAGAAAGAGACAGAGGGGAAAAGAGATTGGGAGGAGGGAGAGACACAGGGAAAGGGAGGAGAAAGAGACAGAGGGGAAATGAGATTTGGAGGAGGGAGAGACACAAGGAAAGGGGGGAGGAAGAGAGATCTGGAGGAGGGAGAGACACAGAGAAAGGGGGGAGAAAAAGATAGAATGGAAGAGAGATGTAGAAGAGAAAGAGATACAGGGAAAGGAGGAGAAAGAGACAGAGGGGAAGAGAGAGACAAAGAGGGAGAAATGAGAGAGACACACAAGGGGAGAGGGAGAAAGAGGCAGAGGGGGAAGTCTTGTTGCTAGGTGCATACTCCAGCACAATAATATATTTAAAGTGAAGAGTGCACCCACAGGACTTCAAAATAAAAAATTTTTGCAGTTGTGCCCTACATACATTCACCATTTCAGTCCCATTAACAAGCTTTCCTTAATATGTCAAGGTAGTTGGACTGAAACATTGATTACATGCAAAGGCACATCTGCTTAAAATAAATCTCCACTTTTGTTTATTTTGAAGCCTATGAGTGTGCTTTTTAATTTTTTTTAATTTTAAGTTATTTGTTCTAACTCTGTATCTGCACACTATGCTGCCGCGACACATTATGGGGCTGGTAAATATTTTTCTTCCAGGGCTGCTTTTAATTCCCAGTCCGGCCCTGGTTATCATGTTGGTATACTGCTCTGCGGCCCAGTCTCCGAAGGGAGGGGCTCATGCTCTACTTCAGTATGTCACAGTACATGTTGGCATTTATGGTTCCCTCAATGAACTGTAGCTCCCCAGTGCCGGCAGCACTCATGCAGGCCCAGACCATGACACTCCCACATCCATGCTTGACTGTAGGCAAGACACACTTGTCTTTGTACTCCTCACCTGGTTGCCGCCACACACGCTTGACACCATCTTAACCAAATAAGTTTTTCTTGGTCTCATTGGACCACAGGACATGGTTCCAGGAATCCATGTCCTTAGTCTGCTTGTCTTCAGCAAACTGTTTGCAGCCTTTCTTGTGCATCATCTTTAGAAGAGGCTTCCTTTTGGAACGACAGCCATGCAGACCAATCAGATGCAGTATGGTCTGAGCACTGACATGCTGACCCCCCACCCCTTCAACCTCTGAAGCAATCCTGGTACCACTCATATGTCTATTTCCCAAAGACAACCTCTGAATATGACGCTGAGCACGTGGCGAGGCATGTTCTGAGTGGAACCTGTCTCGTGAAACCGCTCTATGGTCTTGCCCACCATGCTGTAGCTCAGTTTCAGGGTCTTGGCAATCTTCTTATAGCATAGCCCATCTTTATGTAGAGCAACAATATTTTGTTTCAGATCTCCACAGAGTTCTTTGCCATGAGGTGCCATGTTGAACTTCTAGTGACCAGTATGAGAGAGTGTGAGAGTGATGATACCAAATTTAACACATATGCTCCCCATTCACACCTGAGACATAGAGCTCTGACATAGAACATGAATTAGAAAGTGGTGAGGGGACCACATAGTAGGGTTCCTCGGGTGGTTTGTCTCTGATGTCGTATAGATATGCATCCAGAACTTTAGCAGGGCACCAATTATTCTCAGTTGGGTAGAAGGAGATTTCCAAAGGATGGCCAACCTGGTTAGATTTGGAATGTCTTAATAATAGAATATAATGATTATTTACTTTCTTTATGTCTTTGATAGTGAGACATAAATGGCTATCTGTTTGCGCTACCACCGTGTACTCTCTCTGTCTTAAAAACACATAGAAGGCAATGTAAATAGACATTTTTATGATAATATTTGTGCAAGGATCAAATGGTTGAGTGTCCAGAATATTAAATAGGGTTTTGAATTTTTTTTCCATCAATAGGTAACTGTTTCTGAGTAGTGGGATGATCTATTTTATTGATGCCTTTTAAAAAAAATTATTTTTTTAAAATCAGATATGAAGATAAGAAAGGGATGTGATTTAGCATGGTGGTTAAATAAGATTTGATGGTATATTATGATAGTTTGAGGTGAAGGTGGCAGAATACGGCAGAAGCTACCATGGTTTGAACCAAAGAATTGTGAGTGTAAAACTCGATTGAAAATGGATATAGCTTTGCTATAGGTATTTTGAATATTGGTGGATAAGGCAGCTTGTTATAATGTTCTGCTATGGGACAATAACTGAGTTAATCCAGGATTAAATTGTGGAATTCCAGGGTGCATATGTATATCTGTTGGCAGTAGGATGTAGTAGGAAGAATTCCTGAATTTTACAACAAGACAATGCAACCTGGTAAATGCTTACAGACAAGGAAAAATTGTTTATTGGCTGTCAACCAAGTAAACCTGAAAAATTTATTTCATAAAGGTCAGGGATGACGACGGACCCTTATTGATTATTTTGCAAACTCTCATGTTACCTGTATAACATTTGACGGCCATAACTGACCAAAGTTTCCCCCATGAAAAGGATCCTGCCACTATGGGGTAAATTTCAAATAAAGCCGAAGTTTCCCGAAAGGGAGGTCATTGTTTATTTAGGCCAGTTGTACCTTAACCAATAATTGTTATAAATTGCAGAAAACCCAGTGTAAGAAGCTGAGTCAGTCCAAAAAAACGGGCATTGCTTGGACACTAGGGGAATAAACATTGACATTGAAATCTTGCCACATGGTCAGGTCTGCCCTAGCAGGTGGGTCTAGACAAATAATACTGTCGTGCTGGTAGGAGGCATAGAAGTCTGGATATAAATGATCTTCCCTGTGGAATAAGGCACATTGCGAAGTTAAAGGATCCCAGTAGGGATTGGAGATCATTGCGCATACAAACTCCTAAATTCAGGAACTTGTCTAACTCTTCGTGAATGCGATGGAGTTTATCCTCGGGAAGACAAGACTGCATTAATTTTGAATCTAATATGATCCCTAAAAATTCTGTGGTAGTCATAAAACATGAAACCCTGTATTTGTGTCCCAAATCCACCAACTTGTGCATGTACAGGTCTAGCTCTTCTCGGCGCTGTTGAAAAACAGAACAGATGACATCCCTATATAGGCTGAATGCTAGAACAAATCCAGGGATGATAAGTTTTTTATTAAGACGTGGATCGCTAGCCTTCATCACCACCACTAAGTCAAAATAATTATATGTTCTGTTTTCTGTTTTATGTCTTTGGAGGTGATTAATAAAGACACCAAGTTTACATTTTTCCCATCTAGAATTTCTTTACATAGAGCAGGGGGGACGAAGTGTGCCGGCGTAATGATGTGAGTGGAGGAGGTAGTGGGGGGAAAGAGAGGGGCACTACCCTGCATGCTGGGAGGTGGGTTATTTGGAACCATGCTGACATTTTCCAATTTTGTAAGTCTCTCATTGGTAAATTGTAGAGAGGTTAGGATAGTATCCAAAGTTCCTTGAATGTTCATAAAACTATCCGAGCAGTACTTCTGTGAGCTGGTACCCTAAGAGCATTCTGAAAAGTTGAGCCTTCCTTGCTGTGGCGGGAAAGGGGATACTCCTATGGCACAACACAGCTGAGATCCTGGGGATAGTCCAAGACATTAGTGACCCTGGTGTGAAAAGTTTTTGGAACTCTGTGGGTGTACCATGTCTGACAGGGGTGCTAGGCCTAGCACGAGTGCTAGGGGGGAGGATTCTTCACCTAGATTGGCTTCCTGGGACATACTGGAAAGTGCCATTTAATGGATAGCACAATTCTTTACATGTTTGTAAAACTAACTGGCTAACTAGTGCTGAAGCTAAAAACTAACTACCCCATGCGGCAATCCATTTATGATCCACTGAATGTTGTGGCAGGGTGTTGGCCTCTCGGTGACAGTAAAAGATTCAAAACGTGTGGTCATGACAAGTGAGACCCTAACTATAAACCCAATAAGTGGGTGATGCAGGGCTATACCTATGATGAGGTCCGATTGGACAAAACCTCCTTGTTGAGGTGGTGAGTTAGCCTCGAGGAACCAGCTAACATACGTTATACTAAGGCCAACACCTGACCCTATGGGGAGCATATGTTCTCTAACCCTACAGAGGACTTGATAAGAAAACAAGAATGTAGGAAGATAACGCACCTAGCAAACCACAAATTGTGACTTCTTGAAAACAAGAGGTAATAGATGAGACCTAGAAAAGTAAAATAGGCATTATCGAATTGCTATAATGAGGGAGAGTAGAATTAAATAGGG